ACAGATGATATCTGTAGAAGGTACTCTAATACTAAAATCAGTAAATGACCGATCAATATAGTATTAATGTAGTAATGCATGTGTTTGAAAGTTATATCCTATAGATTTATTTATAGTAGTTGTTAATTTTATCTTTTTGTCAATCTAGATACAATCCAATCTTACCTTAATCAACGTTAATAAATTAATTGATGATTACCATTACATTAATTTGACCATTTTACCTTATCAAAAAACAATCGATCAAATGTAATCGACCAATAATAATAGACTAAATGTGATCGATATTAAAGTAGACATTAAAGTAGACGATCAAATATAATCGATTAGACAGTTTGAGGTTAACCTGACAAAATATATTAATATATTTTTTCACAATGGAGTTGTAAAAGGTCTCGGGATATATGCTGCTTAATCAGAGACCATTGTGTCTTTGACCATGTCCTTCCGGAATCACCTGAAAATAAGAGCATAGAAACATAAAAAAAATTAAATTAGAGAACAGCACAATTTTATTATTACTTGCATAGTTCCATTATGCAGCTGAGTGGCAAGAGAGGATCTAGTCAACATAGTCTTATAAAGCGTGTTTGTGCATATGTGAATGGTTGTATAAATTTCCTATTTATCATAAATGAAAATTAAAATTCAATTATATCATGCTTTATTCTATTCCAACCCCACCAATCCAGTATCTACTCCTCCCACTATGGTGGGCGGCATATTATTGTCTAAATTGTCATACGTGGTTTAAGATAGTGCATGAGTCCTCCAATCAAACCAACCTTGGTCATCAATGCTTGCTTCGTAGCTTACTAAATCCTTGGTAGGCCCTCACCATAACATCCTATAATGTCACAAATCTCAACTTTTTCTATTCTAGATCCTCGTGGAGTCGTGCTCAAAAAGCCTACAACACAATTCACAAAAAAGAACAAAAAATAGGTAATATAGATAAATGTGATCGAAAGTAGAAGAAAAAAATGAATAGTAAAAATATAACAAATTTGAGTATGATTACAACCACTTTGTAGAAAGACACGTTTACATTATTGACCTTAGCATTGTGGAGCCCTCCAAAGACAACTGGGCAAGCCATAGCCTTGTGTTTGGTACACTCAGTGGAATGTGCTTATTAAAATATCTCTAAATTCTATATTTTAAAGTGTTCAAACTGTTTGAATTTTTTGTTTAATCAAAGATTGAAGATATTTACCTAATAGAGCACAAAGAAAAGTTGAAGATCGATTTGTTCAAAGCCAACCACTAGCTATAGACGAATTGCAACCACAGAATTAAGTTATTTAATGTCAATTTGCTATTACATAGTTTTTAAACACCGACCTCGTATGACAATAATTGCTCTTTTATTGTTCTTTTTTCGGTCAATTCTTTTGTCATTTATTGTTTATAATGTCTTCAAATTATTAATCTAATTGGTACAATATGTTTTAATCACCTTTCACTGTCCAAAATACCCCTTGCTCAGTATCTTATGGTGGCCAAATAAAGGGTACGAAAGGTAAAGCCACCACACATTACAAATATGTCACGTGGATCCAAATACAGAGATTGCGGTTGTAACTTTGTAACTTGCTATCATGGTATGGAAGCATTGCTTGGAAGGAATCGTCTCTCAGTTCCTCAGGCTCTAACAGGCTTTAGGATTTTCTGGTGGTGATTACAAATCACAGGTATGTTCATAACTTGTTTTTTTCTTCCTTTTCTATTTCATGTGTTATCATGAAAGAACTAGAACTGGTATATCAGTGCACGTACACGTCTTTTGTTAGTTGTGAGGAACTGTGAGTGTGTATAACCTGCAACAATGATTGGAATGCAGTTATCATGGTTCTTTTTCCATCTTTTGTGAATGGATTGGCAAGAACCGTGTCAATCAAGAAGGAGAAGAATTGTAAAAGGGAAGATGGAAGGACAGCTGCAGAAGAATTGGCAAAGGAAGCGAGGAAAAGTGAACTGTTACTGAGTTCATCTGGAGTTGTTAGGTCGACAAAGGCCAACAATTTTGCTTCTGTGTTCACTAATAGGGGACGGAAAGGAGTGAATCAGGATCGTCTTCTTGTTTGGGAGGTAAGGCAACCACTTTTTTCAAGCCATTACAAGTTAGCTTATTGTACAAATTATCAAATGTTGTACTTTGTTGGCTGTTGATGATGCTAGGAATTTGGATGCCAACAAGACATTATGTTCTGTGGAGTTTTTGATGGGCATGGCCCTTGGGGACACTTTGTAGCAAAAAGCGTCAAGAAACTAGTGCCAACAATTTTGCTGTGCAATTGGCAAGAAAATCTGGCTGCAACATCACTTGACCTGGATTTTAAGATGGAAGCAGACAGACATATCCATGGATTGAACGTGTGGAAGCAGTCCTACATCAAGACTTATGCTGCGGTTGATCAGGATCTGAAGCAGCAAACCGGGTTCGATTCATTTCTTAGTGGCACAACAGCATTGACAATTATCAAACAGGTTATATGTATTCTCTATTTTCAAGTTTTTATATATTTTATTTACTTGTCTGAAATCTCTTGGTTTTCCATCCTAGTCTTTAATTAATAATTAAGACATACCATGTCGGGTTGATGGAAATAATTGCTTTTAGTGGCTAGGTTTGGCACCTGTGTAATAATCAGAAGCGTGCTGAAAATGTTTGTCAGTGATGTTTCAGGGTGAATATCTTATTACAGCAAACATAGGTGATTCTAGGGCTGTCTTGGCAACCACTTCAGAGGATGGCACATTAACTCCACATCAGCTTACCACTGACTTCAAGCCAAATTTACCACGTCTGATTCATCTCTCTTACCCACTCACTACAATTTATTGTTTGTAAAATCCATTTTGATTATTCATATTAAAATTCAATATAATTTTTTATTTAGGTCCGGAATTAAACATATGAACATTTATCAAAATCAGACTAGTTAGTATTTTAATTCATCTAACATGGATCAAACACTGAGTGTGGTATTTGTTGAATTCAGAGGAAGCTGAACGCATAACACAATGCAGAGGGCAGGTATTTAGTTTGGAAGATGAACCAGGAGTGTACAGGGTGTGGATGCCAAATGGTAAACCTCCAGGACTAGCAATATCAAGAGCTTTAGGAGATCACTGCATGAAGGACTTTGGACTAATCTCTGTGCCTGATGTCACACAAACAAAAATTACAACCAGGGATCAATTTGTCATATTGGCAACAGATGGGGTATTCGTCTTTTTGTGTGTGTGTTTGATGCAATCATTGCTTTCAGAGAAAAACATTGAGTAAATGAGCATATTTGGTTCCGTAAGGTATCAGTATCATTTTTTAAGTTTTTAGAAATTGATGACTTCTTTTTGTTGCCTCTCAGGTATGGGATGTTATATCCAATCAGGAAGCAGTGGAGATTGTTTCTGCATCACCACATAAAGAAAAAGCAGCTCAAAAGCTTGTTAAATGCGCCATACGTGAATGGAAGCGGAAGAGAAGTGGCATTGCTATGGATGACATGTCAGCTATTTGCCTCTTCTTTCACTCCTTCCCTTCTCAAAAACTCCCAGCCATTAAAACTGTTGATTAAGAAGAATGCTTAGACAGTTCATTGCAGTTTATAACACAGAAATCCATGTAAACTTGTATATAAACTTGTCAACTATAATGACATTCGCGGTTGTCTTACGACAGAGGTAATCGTAATAATAATAATTTATCTATATCCATCATCATACTCCGTGATAATGCCGAAAAACATAAGCAGGGAGGAACTTCTTCAAGAACAGGCTGTGTCCCAGAATCTTACCATTTCAATTTCAAGTCACACACTTGGAGGCTTTGTAAGATACTACTACATGCATATATGTAATATATAGAGCTAAAGTTATACTTACAACAAAGTTTGACAAAGTCCCACATCGATGGTTTTAAGTGGAACGCGGAACCAATGTCAGAGTCCCATAACACTGTTGTTTCCACTTCAAAATAGACAAATGAAAATTGGAATTTTAAAAAGGTGAAAAAAGACATCCACCATCTTGATTATATATTTTTTAGGGTGTGATAATATTCCATCCTTTTAACTCATATTAGTTGCGTTAAATCACCTTGTCACCTAGGCATATGTTTGTCAGCTAGGCTTATGCAGGGAATATTATAAACTATTAGGCAACTTCACCTAATTTATTTTGAAATGAAATTTAACCAAAATTCTCTTAAATAATTAATGAAATATAACATAAAATGGATATTGAAAAAAAAAACTTAATACTAGTAATATCATAAAAGTGATTTCATTTTTCCTTTTGTTTGGATTTTGACCAAACTTATTGATGATTGAGCTTCCAATGAACTTAGTGACAAATAATGATTATTACTCAAGAGATGTGTGTTGAATCAAGGTGGAGATTTGTGAAAATGGACTCAATCAACCTTGCTAATTTTGTTGCTTGATTGTTCCAAATAGTTTGGTGGTTTAAGAAAGCCTAATAGTTCAAGTGCATTTGTCTTGATTAATATATTTGTTTCATTTATGTATTTGTGATTTTATAAGAGCATTTAATGATACCATACTATCTCTATTTATAACACATTTTAACTTTCTTTTAGATTTGTATTATACGAAGAGTCCACACCTTTGAGATATTTCAAGTTTAATAGTGAAAATATTATTCATATGTCTTATTGGTTATCCTAGGTATCATTTACATATATTAATTACATTAGTTATGTTATATAAATAAAAACATACATTAACAATTCTATCAACTAAAAGTTTATGTTTAATTATATAAAAAAATGAAGAATGTTTTCTAAAAGAAAACTTCAAATTGTAAATTATCTTTTGAGTTAATTATATTATGTTAATTGCATAATAATAAAAGTTGACAATTAAAATTTGTTTATTTTTTATAAATAAATAATTTAGGAAAGAATAATAAAAAATGATAAAGTGTAGGGTACAAACACACAGTGAAAGAGGTATGGGTGCAGCAAGGAAATGGACACACTTGTGTGGAATATAAGGGCTTTGCCAGATCTCTTATTTATTTCCCCCAAACCCCAACCCAACCAGTGTTACTGCAATATAAACTTCTTCCATTCTTCAATTCTCCCTCTTCCGTTCCGATGGCCATGGCTAAAACCTTGCCCTGTCATGATCTCACTCACCTCTCCGATTTCGATGCCTTACTCTCCGCAGACGATTACATCTCCATTTGCGGTTATGGTTCCCTTCTCTCCGGTAATTAACACATGCATTCTTTCATGTATAATATTTATTTCTCCAATAAAATCTTCTTTATTAATTTACTCTCTCATATTGACGCAGAGAGAAGTGCCAGAAGCACTTTTCCCAACCTCGTTAACTTCCGAATCGCCCGCTTAACCGGATTCCGCCGTCTCTTTAATTCCGTTGGAGCCATCTTTTTCACTCATGGTGTTGCCAATATCAAAACTGAGGTCCTTTTCTTTTTTTCCCCCATTTTCTTAATTTTTTTGTCCTTTTCATCGCCAATAACTAAAATCGGTTACTTACTCCATGCTTTTTTTTGTTTATCTTGCAAATTATATTATATTCTCAAGTTTCATGACAAATTTTAATTCTCACATTCAGAAATTATAAATATGTTTATGTTTAATCTAGTAACGTATTATAATATGTAATATATGTATTGATTTTTATAATAATAATTATCTCATAAATTATTTCTAGAAAAGAAAATACACTATCTCCCTTAATATAAAGTTAAACGACACCTATACTAACCTCTAATTTTAAAATAAACATACACATTTTTTTAATATTATTCATAAAAATAACGTTCACATGTCTTTTAACTTTTAAATGAACATTAATTCCATTAATAACACTATTGCAAATTACGAAAATTAAAATTTCATAAATTATCATTGTAGAAGACTATTTATTAGAAATATAAGAAAAGCTTGTAAATGAGAAAGAACGTATGTTATTTATTAAAAATAATAAAAAATGAAATTAAAGAAAAAATTTGAACATTATTTTATTGAAAATGTAATGAAAGTAGATGACTATTTTAAAACTAGATGGATTAAAGTTAAAGAAACATGTGCTTTTTTTAGTTATTTAATTTGACTAATCAGAAATAGAAATTTGAAAGGAAAAAACATAGAAAACAGAGGTACTGTCTTTGCAAAACAGAGGTACGTGATAGTTGGCAGTAATTGGTTGTTGGATGTGCGTTTGTTTGGTTGCGTTGCATGCAGGAAATTGCCGGGCTATCTGTTGAGCCATGTGAAGGTGAAACCATTATTTTAGTTGTTTTTGAGATAAAGAAAACAGAGGTACTATCTTTGCAAAACTTTCAATTATTTGAGGAAGATTTAGCATGCTAAGACAAAAGGAAAAGGCAATTATATCTGAACAATTGTTCTTTATTTTCTTGTAACGGATTTAGATTCCAGCATTCATCGAAAGGGAACGCGCATATCGGTTTTTAGCTGTGAGTAATTGTTCATTGCTTTGTTCCGGTGATAATGGAATATTCAATACCTGCTTCAAGAGTTCCAAATATAATTTTTAATTTATTTTGTTTCCTACAGGTTGTTCCTGAATCACTGGATGGAAAGCCCTTTACCAATCCTGCTGTATGTTGTTATTCAGACGTTACATTTTAGCAATTATCTTAATTTTAATTTTACTAACTTTTTTTCATAGGTTTATTTGTAACGCGTATATAGTGTTTAACTCTGTTGGTCGTTTTGTGTGTCATCAACGCAGGTTCTCTGTGCTTCTTACAGTGATGAGGAGTTCTTTAAATTTAAATGCACTGGTAATGTTACAAAATCCAAGTTTATACTCAGTCAGAAGTATTTGATTACAAAATTCATTTTTTTTTAAGTTTTACCTGGTAATTTGTGCAACATATATACTTCTTTTCTACTATTTTCTGTCATTTTAAACTTTTGTAACATTTCTCATGAATCTAAAAATATAGTTTGAAGACTAAATTCAATTTTCTTACATGCTTGATTATTTAAAAAATAACACGTTCATAATCATTTACTAAATTTTCTTTAAAATTACTTTTGTTGAGGTATTTTTTTAGAGTTAAATATGACTATCCTCCTTTAACTTTTTCATGACAATTGTAATTAGTTCTTTTCTAGAATTTTGATTCAATTTAGTTATTTAATTTTATAAATACATAGATTTAGTTAGTTTAATTAAATTTTATTAAATTTATTTGATTTTTCAAAACTTAAGGAACACAAATTATTTAATCTTTTTTAATTACTTCAAAGTTAAAAAATAATTTTTGTTCTTGTTAAAGTTGAACGAAAAAGAAAATTAGATATTCATATTTATCAATTTAAAACTGAACGATGAAGAAAATTATAGGGGTATGTAAATTGTGTATATGTTTACGTAAGAGTGGAAATTTGGAATTATGGAAGAGTGGGGGTTAAGGTTTTAACGTTAGTTGGAGGAATCAAAAGGCAACATTGCATTGAGTTAGCATGATATGAAAGTAGATTAAGGGTCTCTTTGTTTTTAAAGATGGATTTGTAAGAGTAAATTTAAAGAAAAAAAATTACGAATATGTAATTATTTGGATTAAGAAATAGATGATAAGAAATTAAGATAATTAAAATGAAAGCTTATAAAGAAAGTGATATGATATATTTAATAGATTAAAAATAGATGATTTCATGAAGTGAGTTATATGTTTGTGACATTTTTTGTAACAGAGGGCAGGGAAAAATATTTTGAACGGTATGGAAAGTATAAGATCCATAAGATCTGGCGGGATGATGTTTTGCCATGCCGTGTTTATCTTCGTCACTGGTAACGTTCATTCATTCAAACAATGAAATTTTTAATTCATTTAAGTTCATTTGGTTTGGAATGTTTTGTTTTACTAATGTATTTTAAATTTATTAAATTTTAACTTTTGCTCGAGATAAAATATTTTAATTATGATTATACATAAAATACTTATTTAATTATTTAAAATTAGTATTGACAATTTTGTTGTTGTTGAAGTTAGTTAATGTTAATTTTTAATCGAAAATCATACGTTAATTTTTTTCTTCTATTGCGTCATTGATACAAAAATTAAGTCAATGTTAATAGATTTTTTTTAATAATTATTCTGAAATGTGAAATTATGTAATTTTTAAACTCATGAAAGCATTTCCATTAAAATTTCGTACTCATATTTTATTGTAAAATATTTCAAATATTTATTCCATTATAACATTAATTTAAAATGTTCTCTACAATTGTGTTTAACTATCAATCAAGAATTACAAATTATCACTTCAGATAATTTAGAGATTTGCAATTGTGTTTGAACTATGAGTGAAGAAATGCAATCCATTTCTTATCTTTTACGTCCATTTTTTTTTTCTGGGCTATATATTTCAATTCGTACCACTTAATTCTGTGTTTTTTTATCTCGTACATTTTTTATTTCTTTCTTTTAATGAAAATTTCTCCGCCATAATGGCTCTTTTCTCTTCTTAATCATGGTTCTACTCCCTATGGTCAGGATAGATTGATTCATGGATGCTTGGATATATTTGATTCATGTATGTATGTGATTATTTGATGTTATTTGTTGATAAAATGAAGGCGTGGTAATGAATTGTTGCAGTGCCCTTGGTGCGAAAAGCCTTGGTGAAGAAGTGTACAATAACTTTCTGGATCATACCTTCCTTGGTGATCGTAAAACAACCATACGTCAGTACTTTGAAAAGGCGGGTTCAAAAATAATGGAAGAAGAGCCACCTGAGTCTTTGAAAACCCGTTATGGTGGTTGATGTTTTTTTAGATCAAACCAATTTCACTGCTGTTCCAAAATCTAGGATGAAGATATATTAATAAATTCATATGGGAGCAGATGTTTATTAGAATAATATTTGTCTACTGTGAATTTAAGCTACTGTTTCACTGCATTAGTTTTACAATACCTCCTGTTATATCTCTTGTAATACCAAACTTTGTATATAATAAACAGTAGACTTTACTTCTAAAACAGGTTATGATAAAAAATATATAAAGATGAAGGAGGAGAAAAAGTATATTTAAGGATTGTTTGATAGAGATGAAGAGAAAATAAATAAGTAGAAAATTAATAAGAAAATAAAGGTAGTTTAATTAAAAAGAAATAAAAAACAATTTTTTTCAAAATTATTCTTTGTAAAAATTATTATACTTATTATATAAAAAACAGGGATAGCCTCTTTTTTTCCGGATTTCATCTATTTTATTTTTGAATATTTTCTTTATAATTCTTTTTCAGATTTACCAAATGATGTATTTATTTTATAATGAGAATTCACGTGATAAAGAAAAATTGAAACATTAACACTAAAAAAGAAATTACTTATTTAAACTGAGCGTCTGGTAAAAGAATTGTCTGGAGTTTTACCACACAGCGTAGACGTAATAAACCAAATAGGACCACCTAATTAAAGATTAAATAAAATAATTACAATTGCATTAAATTAAATAGTCCCGGGGAATATTACTTGATGACTTGCAAGTCCCATATCGGAGATTTTATAAAATTGAGAGTGGGACGGCCTATAAACTGGTGGAAGAAAACCTTTGAAACTTAACCTGTCCTGTCAGGGGGTGAAAGGCGACTGGTCAATGATCGTATAGAGACGACTGGTCGTGCCAACACCTAAATTTCGAACACCGACTATACGGCGGGTGAGTCCTGCCCTACTTTGGTTGGGAATTGCCCGTCAATTTTTGGAAGCTTCCCTTGTGAGGGGAGCTCTAAATCATCTAAATTTAGTTCATTTTTGGAAGCTTTAAATCATTTAAAATTAGCCTCTCTGATATGCTCTAAGTAAATGAATGATTTAATTATTCTTGAATGTTAGGAGTTTTTTATACACAGTAAACTTTCATCCATGAAAGGGATTTTATTCACTTCTCCCTAGTAGTTTTTCCATGTGGTACTATTTGACACCATCTTTCTTTAATTGCTGGATTAATAGTTGGATCATTGTTCTGTATGTTGGCATGTAATGATCATTTATCATTTTTTTTGAAAGTCTGAACTTGCTATATAGCTGTCTTGGTGTTTCATATAATTTGATATGTTCCTCTTTGGAGTTTGAACTAGATTCATCAGAAGGTGCAGAGACAATATGCATAATTTTACCTGGGGGATAAAAACAACAACTATCTACAAGGCCAGATGTTGAGATTGAATTGTTAGCATTAACAAGCTGATCTTCCTCAATTATCTCATTTTCTGTATCTGCTTCTTCTACCTGAGTCAGGATGTTCAATATATTCTGTTTTTCAAGTTCCTTCTCCAGTTCATGCCACAATTCACCTTCTGTAATGTGTTCATTGGTATCAATGACTAGTTCCTCTTCTACTGCCACATCAAGTTCAGATTTTCCACTAGAGGAGTTTGGTTCGTCTTTATTAAGTACAGACACACTTTTGGTCAAAAGAGATTTACTTATATTTTCTGGTTCGAGAGAAATTTTGACCAAGTTATTTAATTTAGATTTCGACAGGGGACCAATATTCGGACCGTGTGCAGCAATCATAATTTTGACAACAGATTTTGCAACACTTTGTGCATGCTTTATCACAACCTGCAGGTAACAGCAACATCAGGATCTTTCTGTAAGATACAACATGCATATGGAAAAAGTCTCATACAGTAATAGCAACAGTTTGAGTATTAGGATCACTGCAAGTGCAACTGATCGGTTGACTGTTCTTGATAATGTATGGTTGGATAACTGATCACAAGAATGTCAAATAGAGACAAGGAAACTTGAAGTTACCTGGGTACTACTGGCTACTGGCAGTAGAATAGCACCTACACCAGTTACCTTGTCTTTTGCACTGGATATAGATTGTAAATGAGATCCAAGGGTACTTGCAGAGCGATAGATGACATTCAGAACCTTCGTATGCTCAACCTGATTCCATAAATCATTCAACCAAGATGATGCAGCAACCTAACCAAACTGACTCGAGTAAATAACAAATCATTATCTAAAAGATAAGATTAACATACTCATTAAAATTAATATTTACTCAGATTGGAGAGGTTGGGAAAACCAGCAAATGCACCTCAGAACGAAGGTCATCAACAGAGAAAGATGATAATGTGGGCACCATGTCGGAATTATTTATAATGGTAGTGATGAAGTGCTTCCCTGATTCAGCTAACTCCCATGTCATACAGGCGGCTGAAAAGGACAATAATGATAGGTCACGTAACAAAAGTAAGCATTCTAACTTAAATCATAATATAATTACATGCCATTAATATAATTTCATGCCACACTAAATAGCTATGTTAATCTCATTCTCATTCATCAAAATAATATGCTGGGCATATGGATTTAAAATCACATATCATAGCCCCAAACTGATTATACAACAGTTCCAGCTTCTTTCCAACACTGACATTTTTCACTATTATGAAATAAAAGGATAATTCATCATAACCTAGAGACAACTAGTATTACTTGTCAATTCAATAACTTCATAGGTAAAATTAGTATGATCACATGCCTGGAGCAAATGTGACACAGGTGCTTGAAGATAACTCGTTTTGTTCTCTAAGAATATATGTCAACAGTGATGCAGTACCACCACCAAGTGAGTGTCCAATAACCTGTGGTTTTCCGAAAAGGCAAGAATATGCTAAGAGTAACGTGATTAAAAAAAAATACATATAACATTGACTTGAATGAAAACATTAAAAAAAAGACACTTCATAAGAAAATACATTATTTTTATTTAAAAGAAAACATTAAAAAGGAATGACATTCTAGTGAAAGGATGAAAAAGACAAGGCACAAACAAATGAAAGAAAGAACTGGACAATCACAATTCAGGGCTGTAGCATTTCAAAAAATAATATATAACAGTACCTTGACTTTTGAGTCTGGACAGTCATTAAGTGCCTTAAGTAATGCAGGAGTGCAGAGTTTTGCAATCCAACGAGCAGCAGCAACCATACCACAGTGTGCATGTCCTAAAACCAAGTTGCTAAATTGTCCATCACTTACAATGGAATGGTGAAAAGGAACCATAGCCCCAGTTGCAGCTGTGAGTGTGTCTTTTATGCTATGAGTTCCCCGGATCAACAGAAGAAAACATCTTGACTGCATATCATGTATAATAGTAAATGCGGGCTTCAGAAGCTGCAGGTTTCATGATATTAAATCAGTTTTCAGTTACAGTTGAGCAATAAATTGAATGATGATACTGTGCATAACACCTCAGCAATTGAAACACAAAATTAAGATAAATCTGAAGAAAGAAAAGAAGAAATGTGCAATGCACATTTAGCGTGAAGAGTAGAACATGTTTTGTAACATAGAAAGAAAGAAACTAAGAAAATACATTATCAATTTCAGAAGTAAAATACACACAAAAAACAACTGACATGTTTAAGGAGCATAAATTAACCTGTGCAATAAACTCAACAGCTAATACAGCCTCCACCTCAAAAAATATCAACAATCAATTACATGTGTCAGCACCTCAGAATGGATTTGTCAACCATAACTATGTAAGATTTACAGGATTTGTCATTTCAGAATGGACATGACCAACCATTAACATCAATTTGGGATTGTTACTTCCATTGAGCTAGGATGTTCTTTAAAGATGATCTAGGGTAATGAAGAATTGTGAACGAAGGGCCAGACATGTATTTTGAGGCTTTTCTAGGAAGCACCAACACAAATCCACAACATGTGCATGTATGACACTTGCACTGACATATCTGTGACACATTTCCAACACGGGCTAGACGGGACACAAACCAAGGCATGGAAATCTCACCCTTGGCTACCTTCTATACTCCTACTTAAAATTAATTTTAAAGAAGTCAAAATATATTATATTATACTACAAAATTGTTTGATCTCTTAAGCATTTCTTTTGGGCTCACTATTACAGGGCTTAACTTCTTGTTTTAAGAAATATGTTTCATCTTCTTATCTGGATTTTGTTTTTCAAAAATTGTATGGTAAAATGATCTCTCATTTGCATGAGTGTTAAAACAAAATAGCAAGAGAAAACTAAATTCAACAAAAAGGCTTAAATATTTTCAAAGAAAACATGGATCCTGGTTTATTGGTTCATCTGTCCCCATAATGATTGGACAGAGTGACCAAAAAGTGAGACAAGTACTAGCTTGCACACTTGAATTGAATTGTGGGTGGGGAATGTAATAGTGGTATGTTAAATGTGTTTTTTCATTAGGAAAGAAGAGTTCCTTCTGTGATAAATGTAAGGAGCATTCAAAGGGCGATATGGATTGGTTCCACTCTAAAAGTTCAACAGTTAAGTTCAAACTATACCGCGGTGCAACACTACACATATAAAAGTTCAAAAGTCAAGTTTGATTCAAGTTTTCCACTTTTTCTTAACACTCCTAGGTGAGGTTGTGGTAAAGTGGGAAATGAATGCAGTCATCCGCTGCTTCGTAACTTTCTTACAAAGAAGTTGAAATTTTGAGCAGAATCATATGTATATCTGTGCCTCTCTTTGCTTCTCGAGCATGTAGTGTGTTCTGTATGTTGCCTAACTTTTACTGTTCAAATAAAAGATTTGTAAGAGATGTGAATAAAAAATCCATTGACCTAACTGGTTTTCAAGGGCATATTTCATATTTTATGGCTTAGAGTTTTATGAATTGAGAAATTTCGTAGTCACCTCACCACCCTTATTCAGAACTGGGCAAAGCAATTTCACATGATTTGGATTCTAATTTTACTTCCACAAAAACAACTTGCTTACTTAGTCCTGAGGCCAAATTAACCACTAAAAAACATTTATTTGTGCCTGTCACTTAAAGATAATAAAATGAAACAGAAATGAAAAAGTAGCAATGAATAGCAAACGCACCTGATTATTCATTTTAATCTAATCAAGACACAAGGTGTATGACACAGGTCCAATGAATCTCGACTAAAGAAATTAAATTTTTCGTTCCATACTAGAGACTCTCTATCAACATGGATCGAC